CATCTGTGCCCAGGTGGCTCATGGGATGGAGCATCTGTCCAATCATCGTTTTGTTCACAAAGACTTAGCCGCTCGAAACTGTCTGATCAACAGTCAGAGGCGCGTGAAAGTGTCATCGCTCAGCCTCAGCAAGGACGTCTACAACAGGTCTGTCAGAAAATAATAATAATCCCATGCTCAAAACATCAGTTACAGTAGAATGAATAAGTGAATTCTGGGACATCTCTTCGCCTTTCATCTGGCTAATCGTCTTGTTTCCATCTCCTTGTCATTTCTCTTGTGTGCTTGTATGTAGTGAGTACTACCACTACAGACAGGCATGGATCCCGCTGCGCTGGCTCCCAGCAGAGTCTGTGTTTGAGGACGACTTCTCCACCAAGTCTGATGTGTGGGCCTTTGGAGTGCTGATGTGGGAAGTGTTCAGTCATGGGGAAATGCCACATACCAAACTCAGTGATGACGAGGTTCTGGAAGGTCAGTATGATGCTGAAGCAGCTTATTTTTAGTCCAGGTTCTGATTCAGCAGACAACAAACAACATGAGAAGCTCTTTCCTGAGAAAACATGTCGCTATTGGTGATTCACTTGTTTGAATTGTCAGTTAATGTAAAATAGAGTGGTGACACGTTTGAGTCTCCAAACAAGGATTTTTTCAGTCAACATCCTCGTCTCCTTGTTTCTGATTTGGTTTAACCGCCTTCTCTGTGCTTATCCTCCACTCCTCTAGGTCTGCAGGCAGGGAAGCTCAAGCTTCCCATCCCAGACGGATGTCCTTCTAAAATCTACAAGCTCATGGTGCGCTGCTGGGCGCTAAGTCTCAAAGAGCGCCCTTCCTTCACAGATATCGTCCACGCCCTGGGAGAGCTACCCTCTGACAGCAAAGTCTGAGACAACCGTAACCGCACATGAGAGGGGAACTTTTACCAACGTCTTTTCCCCAAAAGAAAGACAGGAATGCTGGATGTTAGTCTCACACATTTCAGGGAAGAAGGTTGAGGAGAAAACACTTTTTTATATGCATTTCAAAACATGGGTGTGTGGATAAGACTTCTTTGCTATATCAGTGGAAACGCACTCACATATGTGTGGATGGCTTCTCGTGAGCAGTGCCAGGAGTTTACCTTTGCCTTAACCGCAGCATGGATGACCCTCCCCTCCTGTCCCTGTCTGTGGTTCCACTGTGACCCTGCCTGCCTGTCTGCAGCCGCTCTGTCCCAGAGACACTGTTTCACGGAGCCTCACAACCTCAGTGCCTCTACCCCTCCACACACACACACACTCGCCTAAACTTCCAACTGCTTTGTAGGGATTTTAGTTACATTGCTTTCACTGGCTCTGATCAAATAAAAATTATTGGACAGAACTTTAGGAAAACCCCTTGAAATTTAGGTTCACCGCTCTGATAAGTCCTCAGTGTTTTCTCATTAATTAGAAAGAATCTTGAAGGGAAAGTGGGATATAATGTGACTTCAGTGGAGCGTTGATGCTTCTTTAATATTCTCATATCATATTCCACTTAGGAGTGTGTTGAGTGAGATTGTTTCAGCTGGTCTGCTTGAACTTAAAATCCAGTCAGCTGCATCCTGAGTCTGCCACCCTAATCCTGGAGGAGACACCCAGCTACTCTGACAACCAGGGACCCACCACCATCCTTCGGTGTGTGTGTGTGAGTGTGTGTGCGCGCCACTGAACTGTTCCCATGTTACAATGTACGTTCAAAGTGGAAGAGGAATGGGGTTTGTATGAAGGTTTGTTGTCGTGAGGAAACTTGTGGAAAAAGTCATCCATGTTATGATAACAATTCAGGAACAAAAAAAAAGATCAAGTTTATAGCCAAGGAATATAATGAATGGATGAGATTGTGCTAGTGTGGGCTTTGTATGTTTTTTTTTTTATGAGTGTGTTCTGTTCTTGTATTAACTTTAAGGTGCTTATTGGTCACTACCTTTGGGTAAGAATACCCATTATACCACATTAATGTCATGGTGTCTCAGTTGCAGGGATACAGCCTATCACTGTTTAATCTGCAACATAATTTCTTCAGAGGTCCAATCACAATTTCCCTCTCGGTCCAGTTGTTTTGTGCAATGCTGCAAAGTGGACCATCACACCAGGCAATGTGTACATAATGTAGAAGCCATGCACTAACTTCACTTAAAAGAATATCCCTCTTTATCTCTATCATGTTGTGTAGAAGGACATGCAGGCGCCTGTTTATTTATGATGAAGGTCCTGTCTTTTTTTTTTTTAACTATGTTTATAATAGAAAGGTACTTCTCTGATGCTATGTATTCATTCTCATGGTCCATCTCCGTGTGCGTTCAGTCTGGTAACCGGCTGAATATGCTAACACAAAGTACAAAGGAGGTCAAAAGAGTGACTGCTGGTCACCAGAACTCATTTAAGTGCCTGGTAAATGAAGGATTATCTTAACTATTTCCCTCTTTTTTTACATTATCTAATCAAATGCAATGGCCTTTGTTTATGAACTTGTTTTTATACGTTGTTTTTAGTGTAATGTTTTGTTTTTATGAATGCTAGGCACTCACACCTAGACCTCTTTTTTTAATCTGCTTCAGCAAATGTTCACAGTAATCACAGATATATACAAAAGTATACATGCTGCTGTCAATAAAGGTTCACAGTGTTTTTACCCATTGTGTTGTCATTCCTAATGCAGTTGGCAATGCAGCTTCAAGAACCACATCCGTGACAGTTTACAGTTTTTTGGTGTTTTTTTTCTTCTACCCTGTTAAGTTCGGTATGGAAACCAACTGAACTTTCAAATAATTTAAGCTTGCTTGAGATGAATCGCACTGAACACTCCCTTTAGCCCAAGTTTATGTGCTAATGCAGTTGCAAACATTTTGAAATGCATAAAACCAAAATATTGTGAAATGGATAACGGAAATGTGTTTGTTTGCTTCATTCATTTTAAAAATGTTACTACTTCTTAGCCAACTGAAGAGTTTCCATCATTGCTTCTGCTTGAAACTGCATTACCTCGCAATACTGTGTTCAGTAAAAATAACAAAGGTGACAAAATGTTCACCTACCTCATACAAGTTGAAACAAGATTTTCATATTGTGTGTAACAACAGCTGAGTGTAAGTACACCATTAATCTGAGAACCTCCCTTTAATAGGGTCACAAGTAATAAAAACTATGCAGTTTATAGCTGATGTGGGCTGTTATTTGTAAGAGCACCTACAGTCATAGCCCTTCTTTTTACTAGTAAGTCCAAAGAGTTTTCAGATTAACCACTAGAGGGTGGGGTGGTACTTCTGTAGGTCTTTAAAACCTGACCCCAAACGCTTGCCAATTTTTTTTTCTTCACATAATTATGTTTAGAGTTTAATAGGATAACATAGCCTTTTATAGCTGCAAAAGAAACTTCCATTATGAATCCATGCTGTCTTGTGTCAGTGACAGTGTTCTCCTTTCATCTGATAAATGTCATTTTTTTAAAATGTCAGCTTTTATCTGGTGTCCACAGGCAACTTCAGCAGGTCATCATTGATTATGAGGCATCATGGGTCTCCTCTAAATTTTGATAAGAATTTTCCCTGTATTGTAGCCTATGCTGGACCTGGTTGGTGTGCTGCAGCTTTATAGTGATGGATGAAGAGGCTCAACTTCACACATTGATACAGAACCATGAGAAAACTGATTTTCATAGCCTCAAAACCTATAATGACAGCAGTCATTCGATGTGTGTTGTCATGTGCATAGTTTTATGACAAACCGAGGTTAAGTCTCAAAGAAACGTCAACTCAGTCAGTACTGGGATACCATAACAACCTCTTCCAGGTGCATATACACTTTAGTGAGCTCCTGTAAAAGCCTTTATATTTCAATAAATATCCTCCTCGCATCTTTCCAACAAATCTTGGATGAGAAACTTTCAAATACCACAATACATGGCATTTGTTTTAACCTGCCTGGAGTTCCAGTGGGGTGGGGGTTTATTGCATCATTAAGTACTATCAGATCAGTTGCCAGACACACACATAGCTCAATTCACATGTCAGTCTCACAGAAGATTTAGTTAATAGGAAAAGAAGAGGTGTAAATAAGATAAATGGCTGAATTTTATTTAGCTGCTTCAATATGGTGTGTATGCTGCGCTCACTGTAATGACGTACACTACTGGGACACTTGAATAGAACAGAGCCATCTTTAATGTTATTAGTAACACCTGTGTTTTTCCTACTATGTGAAAACGGCCTGCTGTAAAAACTATGCAGGATTAGAATTGATACGTGGCACAGCTACTTGTTTAATACAACATGCATATACATTTCTTTCAAAGAAAGTCATTACAAATAATTATAGGCTCTGCTTGAACAGTGTTGTTGCAATTCTTGAGAAAGTCTGATATAGGCTTAACCTTCAACATAAATACCATGTGATAGGTGAGTATATTCTACTTTTTTGCAGGGGAAAGAGATTAGTAAAAGTAAAAAATAAAAACAGACACAACAGACCTTCACATTTGATTGTAAGAATAATCCTTGACCTTAAGTAGCCACATCTGACTGCCTGGATTTGCCTATACATAGGCTATATCTACTAACTATGACACAGTACAGAATCAGCTCAAGACCTTCAGCCAGCAGTGATGTATAAAAAGATATTCTGGCATAAAAACTTTGGGAAAACATGGGTTTATGACATAGCGCAACCTGTGGGGAATAAAAAGTTGGATGTTCTGTTATTTTGGTGCCTCTGCTTGTCCACTGTGACGTTGTCAGTAGCGCAACCATTTTGGTATTTATTCTAATGAGTGAGTCTTATTGACCAATGACAGCGCTACTCAGATAATCCTCAGCCAATCGATAGGCGACGCTGTGACTCACCAAATAAGGAGAGACAGCACCAAATAAGGAAACATTGTATCTCTTTATAAGGCGGGAAGTAGTTCCTCGGTTGTAATATTACTCCGCTGTCGTAAACACCGCTCTAAAATTAGACATTTTTATACATTTCTGAACCACAGGAAGAAAGATATTGTGACACTGAATGAGTAAAAATGGATAAATCGATATTAGCAGGCCGACAGTAGCGTTACTTTCGGTTCACAATGCGGACTACGCAACATGGCGGAGCCACATCGAGGGCGTTCTTCGCGTTTTCCTTTTTGAGAAAGTGCTCAGAGTTTTGGAAATAGAGGAGGAGGGTGAACCAGCTGAGCCGGGGTTGAAGGTTTTGGGGGCAGCATCACTTTCGAAAGTTTGTTTCGGTTATTTCCTGGAGTCTCCAAACTATCTCCTGGACTGGTTTGTTTACATTTTGTGGCCGAGGCGTGTGTGCGTTTTATCAGCCACTTACGACACAACGCGCTCCAGCTTTTTTGGCTGGTGTTTAGAGACTCGGTCCAGTAAATAGAATGTTACCGAGCCAGGTTGGATCTGCACCATCTGGAAACGGCTCAGCTTCAGGCAGGGGTACCACAGGACACGGTTCGGGGGTTGTCGGTAGCGGGATCCGTCCCGTTTTGGTCAGGGCAGGGCAAGCTTTAGCTGGGGTCAGCGACAGCGCTGGTGCTGCCGGGCGACTGGGGGAAAGAGACGCCATCGGGATGCTGGGGGCTAATGGTCCAGGGGGTCCGAGAGGTACGAGACCGGGGAACGGGACAGGGGTGACACCTCTACAGACCGCCGTCCAGGGAAACATGGTGGGGTTGAACACGGGAGTTGTGTTGCCTCACGGAGCCCGGTTCGACCCGGACAGAGAGAGTGCTCCGCTCTGCAGCGGCTCGGATAATGACTCGGACTCGGGAGATGATGACGACCCCGTGGGTTCACTCGGGGACAGCAGGAGAGGGGTGAAGCGGGAGAGAGGGGAGATGGAAGCTGCGGTGACGGGGCAGGAGGTGGGGGTACCTCCTGGAGGTTACGGCATGGTGCCCGGAGGGGTCGCCGGGGCAAAGCCGGGAAAGAAGACACGTGGGCGCGTAAAGATAAAGATGGAATTTATTGACAACAAGTTGAGACGCTACACGACTTTCAGCAAGAGGAAGACGGGTATTATGAAAAAGGTGAGTCAAATGATTGCCTTTGGATCTCATCCAACTACGTAACATTTGATTAGACTGTCACTCAGATGTTGCTTGGCCTACATATACTGCAGTATAATCTATGGCGCTTTGTGTTCATTACTTCATGGAAAACAGTGTCGTAGATTACACCATAATTACCTGTATAATCAGAACACCTGTGGGAACAATTGTATTGGTAATTATGATAACCACCAGAAACTAATGAGCTGCAGTAAATCTAATTTCAATTTCTTTCTCAAAAGACAAACAATAGTGGCACAAACTGACTGGATGTGAGGAAGTCAGAGCATTTATGACAGGCCACGGGCTTTAAATAAACTTGAGCAAATGACAAATCTATTTATGACCATGCCCACCCCCAGCTATGGCACAAGCATGGCCACACACACACACACACACACACACACACACACACACACACACACACACACACACACAGATTTCCAGCAGACTAATTCATACACACATAGCCTAACACCTTAGTAAACTGACTGACAGGCCTAGAACCGTCGGAGGTGGTTTCCATCGGTAGCCATCAGTGCACAGGCTGTTCCCTCTGCCACTGTGAAGCAGGGCTTTGCTTACAGGCAGCAGCCATGTGGTAATGAGCAGCAGCGGGCCTGTAGGTGCCAACAGCTGACCCAAATCAGAGGACAGTCAAAGAGCACTCAAACAGAAGAGAGAATGCAGGGACTGTCTGTGCATGCATTATGGCAGTGTACATTGTGGTACAAACCTCATACAGTTTTGTTTCAGTTTTGTCCGGTCTGACAGACAAGCAGCTGTCATTAAAGATGGCACAACTTGCTGCATGGTAGTCATAACTGCCCCTGTACTGTCTACTAAGTTCAGCACTGAGCCATATTTCACTGGAAATGCACAAGTCAACCACACAATCGCTGTCATGATAAAGTATTGCTATGTGGCATTTGGCGTCAAAGGCATCCAAAGTTGATTATTTGGAGATGAGGTCAGCTGTTGACCAGAGCCACAGCAGTTGTTTTGCTGTAGACATGGCTATTTTTCATTATGACTTTAAATAAACACTTGTAAGCCATGCTTTATTGTAGTGCAAGAGTTTATCTGTCCTCATGTTACTTTGAAGCGCCTGTACTGTGTACTCTTTTGTATTTCTCTCTCTTTTTTTTTAAATTTTTTTTTATTTATTTATTTATTTTATATATCCCAGACTGTTGTCGTGGAAACTGGGGTGTCTTTATGTAGGCTCTTGGCAACATGAACACTATTTGACACACTGTGGGGATAGAGATTTTGAAAATGTTGCCTACACTATGTCAGCCATCATAGAAACTGACAGGTGGGTGGAGTGGGAAGATTCATAGTAGACTGGTTTCAAATCGGTTTCAAGGATGAGCCTCGTTTCATTTGAAGGATGTGGTGAGTGAAGTCTGTGCCCTCTCTTCTCCTATCTGCCTTCGATCATGTGAATGCTTTCTCAATACAGCATTATTAGTGTTTCACAGGATTACTCAATTAATATTGGTGGTTCCTGTTTTTGGTTCCATTATTTGTCCAGAAAAGGGCATGTTTCCATTTTAGCTCTTGCAGTAACCATGCTCAATAAACAATTTTTTATGGAAGACACGTTGACTTGTCATGGCAAGAAAAGCACAAGTGTAACTAACAACATAAATAGTGGTTCCATTCAATTTAGGTTTCACAAAAACCTATGCAAGTGAGCCAGCACGCAGAACGCCAGGGCTCTGAAACTGGTTTACCCAAATGGAATGTAGTCATTACTAATGTTATTATTTACACATTGGCTTTTATTGCGTACCTTGACAAGTCTAGTGCTGACACAATTGGTTAGTTAATTGATTGACCAAAAGTTAATCAACAAACATTTTTGTTAATTGATTATTTGTCAAATGATCAGTGGCTCCAGCTTTTTAATGTGAAGATTTGTCACTTTTCTAATATAATTTTGAATGTTTTATTTTAAACAGTTGGTCAGAAGATATAAGCAATTAGAAGACTCTACCTTGGACTTGGATTAATGATTAATCACAAAAATTAATATTTAATCTATAATGGAAATGATCATGAGTTGCAGCCCTGGACATGACTGAAATGAAAAGGGCCTCCAGTTAGGAATGCAGTCAAAACTGTTGTCATACATACATTTCTGTCAATCAGCCAATTACTTTCTAGACTAATTGTCTCAGCACTACAATTACCACAAGCCACAATTACTGACTTTGCACCCTTACATTGCACTCTTGCTTTAGGTCACTCCAACAGATGTTATTGAGGGATTTAAACTAGTGCCTGTTTAGACACATGACTTTGGGACTAAAGTTCTAGCTACATCAGACAAACAACAACAACAAGACAAAATTTGAAAAATAAGGCCACATGGATAACAAGCCTTGTTTTGTTTTTGGTTTTTTTGTCATTTTTGAATTTCACAACTGTATATATCCATGTTAGCGTTTGTGAGTATGTCTTTTGCTCCTTCTTTAGGTGATATATAGGCTTGACGAGAAATTTGCACGTTGCAGAGGAACCAATTACAGATGGAGCTGACCCCCCAACACACACACACACATACACATACACACACACTCTGCAGTCATGAATATTTATGAGAAAATCAGCAGAGCAAGGAAACTTATTAAAGCATTGTGTAGGTCTAGTTTGTGCCGCCACCTAGCACACTTAAGTTGACAAATTAGTCCTTCTCTGTCTTGGACGCAGGCCAAACATCAGACTCTGTTGTTAGACACCACCTCTGTAGCCGCTGCACAGCCAATCAAGGGACACAGTGGACGAGGGTGACTAGAGCTGTAGTTCATTACCTGCCTCTGTAAGGCTGTATTAGCAGTGGGTGAGGTGAATTATACAACCAGCCAGAGGTTACTTCAAAACTATCCTTCATTACACATAGAATAGCTCGACATTATAGAAGTTTGAAGTGTTCAGGTGTAATAAACACAGTATAGCATTGAGCATTTATAGCAGTCGCTGGTCATCATTGGCCTTTCTGTTCTCTGTCATCACATTATCACACACAAAAGGCAATTATGTGGTCAGCTTCAGCCAGCATGTGCCCATATATAGAGGATTGGACTGATACGACTTATAAGGAAGATAGTGTTTAAGAAGAGTGAGCATGATGTGGTAGACTATGGTGAATGCACAGTTTTATAACGGCTCAATAAAATCCTTTTAATTTGAATGTGATTTGTCTCCTCCTCTTTGCTCCGTCTGACAGAGTATTACGCTCCAGCTTACAATTGCACATCTATCAGCTATCTCCGGCTGCGCTATGTGCACCAAGGTGATGGTAATGGTACTGTGCCTTCATAGCACCAGAAGCATCCTCCACATAACTGATGACTCATTTAGATAAAAGGCCTTCTCAGGAGTTCACTCTGAGTGCTGTGTGAGTGTGTGTGTGTGTGTGAGTGTGAGCGAGAGAGATGAAGTTGAGTCTCATTGTTGTCTGCATGCTGTATAATGAATGACAAGGCAGGCAGAGCGTGATGGTGGCCTCACGTTTCACAGCCAGCTACCTCTGGTGTTAAGAATGATTCCTCGTTTCCGCCGTCAGGAGTGGGTTACTACCACTCCCCCTGCCTGTGCAAGCCAATCCCCTGCTGCAATCAGTCTCTCAGCTATATCACACTCTCTATTCTGGGAGCCTTATCTCATGTTATTTTAGCTTCATTTGTGCTATACGTCAGAGTTCACCACAGGGGTATTTTGAAACACCTCACTCTGTTATCAAAGAACTGGGGATTACGTTAAGTAACTCAAAGTTTTCTTGGCTTGAGAATTTTTTTCCTAGAGGTTCATCTTTGGAATCTCTTACAGTCCCTCCTCCGTTGAGATTACTTTGTGTATGGTGGTGTATGTGTATGAAGGTAATCCAAGCCCTAATTTGGTGAACGATACATACATGAAGTTTGAAAGGACCATTCACTCCGTCAGATACTCACACTTTCTTCTTTCTCTTTCCCAGGCCTATGAACTCTCCACCCTGACGGGAACCCAGGTTCTGTTGCTTGTGGCCAGTGAAACTGGTCACGTTTACACTTTTGCCACCCGCAAACTCCAGCCAATGATCACCAGTGAAACGGGCAAAGCCCTGATCCAAACTTGCCTCAACTCGCCGGATTCACCACCACGCTCTGACCCCTCCACGGACCAGCGCATGAGTGCCACAGGCTTCGAGGAGACGGACCTCACCTACCAGGTGTCGGAGTCAGAGAGCATGGGCGACACAAAGGTGAGAATCAAAAAGTGGAAAGGTCTGCTTCTATAGACAAAAGTTAAGAATGCACTCCATCTCTTTTGGGTAAGATCACAGTGAGGCTGCAGCTGTGAATCTCCAAAATTGCATGCACTCATTTCTGTACCTGTCACCACAGCCCATTTCTCTTACATTCAGCAACAGTGGTGCTGGAGTTAAAGTTTTTCTGACTCACTGACTATCTGCTCTCTAATTGCAGTGCAAATTTTGAAAATAAAAAAGAATGGATAAAGTACCATAGAGAGTCACTAATGGATATATTGGGAAATCTCTCCAGAAAAGGCTCGACAAGCACACGAGGAGAGCAAATAAATCAAACCCACAAGCAGCTGCAGAAAAAAAATCTTTGTCCTACTGTAAACAGTTCTGAACTTTCAGCTGTTATAAGTGAGGCCTCTGTGTTGGGCTTGTGGTTTGGTTCACCAAGTCATTTTTTTTTTTTTTTAATTAGACCAAAAAAGCCTTTGGTCCTTCAAAGGGTTCGAGACTGAGGGGAGAGGCAGATAAGATGTGGGGTATTATTCTACTCAGCTAAAGGGAGCTGACTACGTTTTACCTTTCTGACCTCTCATTCAGGAGACCCTCTCTTAAAGATAAATCACAGCAGGTCTGGGGTGTATTAGGATGAGAAATATGCAGCCTGCTGTATGGAGGACTTTGGTGTTTATCTTTGATTTTGGGATGGTGCTGTCTTCACTGAGCTAGTTAAACAGAGATTATATTTCTGAGAATATTGGAATATTGGAAAATAACCATGACAGAAATTCATTTAGGACATGATAGGTTTTTAAAAGATGAATTTATGCAGTCTTCATTGTTGTGTCTTTGTATTTCCCTCTACGTTGCTGCGAGTGTTCTTAAACTTTGAGTGTTTGAGAGTTGAGAGTTAGAAGTGGAACGATAAATTAATCAGCAGACACACTTCAGCGTCCACACCTTCGTGCAATCACGTGCTGGAAGCTGAGATTCCCCCCATTCTTTACACGGCTTAAGGACGCCCCTTTGAAGACAGACACTTCGAGGCCTGTTTGCCTGCGTGCCGTTTTTACAAGGCACTAACTAACACGTACCATACACCGTCAAGGATGGGAGATCAACCTTTGCACGTTAAGCCACTCTCATGCCCGCTCTCCTCATTGATAAAAATTAGATTCTGCCTCTGTTGCCATATATGGTATGGTTTCCCTGCCTGTTCTCTTGGCTGAGGCCCCTCACATTCCTTATAAGCTGCAGCTGTCTTTGGAGTCCTGTGATTTCTTCTCCCCCCCCCTCACTCATTTAGTGATATGGAGGGGGGAGGTATGGATGTAGATATGAGTGGGTGGAATGGAAACATTTGAACGATACTTTACGTCCCGTTTCATGTGATGTCTGTTTAGGTGGCTGTTAGTTGCGCTCTGACCTCTGCCCCCCACTGCAGTTAGTGGGAGTGTGGGAGTCCGACATGGCTCCCCCTGAATCCTCCTCACACGAGGAACCAGTAGAAATCGTCATTGTGTTGTACATGTCAGAATCAGTTATGCTGTTATGACTCGGGCATGGCAGGTGGACACGGAGGTTTTCGATTCTGAGGGATCATATCCGTGCAGTAGATCTGTTGCGTGATCGCCGTGTGCACCTCTGCAGCATCTGGACACTGTTCATCAAGAGAGTAGTATGTCATACATACAGTCCACGCTAGTCTAAACAGTTCAGAGTTTGCGATGGCTGGTGGGGGAAGTGGAGGACATTTTGGAGACGCACAAGAGCTTGAAGTAAAGTAGACTCAAGAAATCAAGTGACAGTAGTAATTCTGGGGCTTACATGGTGATATATATATATATATAAAAATATTAAAACTATTTAAAAAGCTATTGGTAATGTAACTAGGCATCCATTTTGAAAGAAGATAAAGAATTAGCCTGCCACACGACCACCTGTAAACACCACAGCATGTCATTTTGGTATGGATTGCACAAACAAGATATAAAGTGTTAATTAGTGAGCTTTAGAGGTGCTGGTAGATGGATTTTGTTACCTTTGGACGGAGCCAGGCTAGCTGTTTCCACCCGTTTCCAGTCTTTATGCTAAGCTAAGCTAACCAGTTGCTGGCTATAGCCTGATGTTGATTGATTAGTCTTTAGACATTGCAGTTGATCCTCTTCTCATTTGTCTCGATGCCGAGGATGCTTCTTTTTTTCCCAAAATGTCAAGGTTTTCCTTTTTAATATTGTGAATAATATTCATTATATTTAATATTGTGAATAATGGGCTAATTGCTGCCACAAGCTGTTTCATCATTAAGTTTTAGTGTTAGTCCTTCAGCATAATAGCATTGTCTAACATGTGACATCATGAATGAATTAGCTGTCCAGTAACGGGCCGGCAGTTCCTTCTTTCCCTCAACATAAGCTCTTCCCTACACCTGTCTGCGGGAATGCACCACTAGCTGGGCTGTTGTTGGTCTTCGTTTCTGAACCTCAATGTGGGAAAACACGGCATCTGCTCTGGAAATGTTGTTATATTTTCCTGAACTATTCACCACAATTAGTTTCTAAATAAATTTTAAGGCGAGAAATGGGCCGTGCAGTTTCGGAGTCACGCTTCGTATCACACCACAACTTGTTTTCATAGCTGATAGCTATGTGTGAGTGTTTGTTAAAGTTTGAGACTTTGAAAAGGCCTGTGAGTCACATTATTATCATCTAATCATCTGCTGATTGGTGTGATGCATGGCTACATGGGCTGAACTCCTTCTTGAGTCTGCGTCAGACCTGACACTGCTACTGAAAATTGAGCTCTCGGGATCATAGTGGAAAGCATGCACTTCTTTCTCAAAACATCATTTGGCATATTCGTTCAGCAATCATACCGGGAAGAATCATTATTCCATTGGGAGTGCCTTTAGCTGATCAGAGAGCAGCGTTAAGATGATAAGTCATTAAGTTTAAGGTGTGTGACTCACTTTATGTCTGCAAAACCCAGCTTTTCTATTACTATTGCTCTCTCAGCTGAAAGCAACACATTCAAGACTGTTCTCTAAGGGCTGTTTGAATGCATTTTGGGAAATATATATAAGTCTGGTGTAGAGGTGAGTGAGGTATGTTGAGGGGCAACTAGGGTGCACCAGAAATTAAAGGCCAGCACTTCACCAACTGGGCAGATTTGTATCTATTGTGCCTTCCCTGCATCCCCCAACAGATCCTTGGATTGTTTACAGCTGCTTCTTAATATTAGACGAGCCGAGAGGGCAGATGTTTTTATGTGTTTCGGGATTATTTTTGGAAAGGGATGGCAAATCCCACAACTCCTGTTTTTGCTCAGAGGATCCATGTTAGCACTAAATTCTAAGTATCGCAGTATCTTCCTCCCTCCTCCCTCCTCTCACTTTCTCTCTCCTTTCCTCCCTTTGCTCCATCCCTCTCTCTCCCTCTCCCTCTCTCTCTTTCTCTTTCTCTCTCTGTCTTCCCTGCTGCTTTCTCTGTCAGTGTTGTTGCTGTTTTAATCCTGTTGAAGTTTATTTGTTGCTCTTCTCATTATCACAAATGACATTTCCATTGCCACTGTAATGTTGTAAGAAACACTGACCTGAAAACTTCCAGACTGAGGCCGCTGTCTTGACCACCAGCTGACATGTTTGTTTTCCCTGCGTTGTGGCTCTTTAGACATACTGCGGCAGATTTGACAGCCTCGTTATTCAACATATTGTACTCCCATGAATGTGTATGAATTTGATTTGGTCTCCCTAGAGAAATAACACTGATTTGACAATTAATTGAGTCTTAACTAGGGGGACTACGCTTAAATAGATAAAGTGTTTATCTTTTTACAACTGTCTGCTGTTGTTCTGTCTAACTGCTGTTGTAAGGGCAGAGTGGTGGCCTGAAGTAGGTGAGCAGAGAGAATCACTGAGATATTGGAAAGTTAATTTACTCAGATATGTGCTCTTATCACAGGGCTGCCGCTGAGCAGCGAGGCGGTGGTGGTGGTGGTGGTGGTGTCTGAGGGATTCTAACGGTGTCGGCAGGGAGAGCAGCATGTTGGCTGTGTTAGAGGGGGAGGAAAGCAACGTTATGTCACCCTCCACCCCACCACCACCACCCCCACCCCGTCTTCCACCCCCTTATTTTACAGCAAGCAACTGGACAGGTCAGCCGCCATTGGCTGCACCTCCTCCACTTGGGCTGCCTTGCCTTTTTTAGCAGTCCCAAATGGAGCTGCAAATTCCATGTTGCTGGCAGGGTGACAGACTGGGAGATGGGAGCCAGCAAATGGGAGATTAGACGAGGGCCAGCCACCAGTAAACTGCAACACTGGACTGGCCTGCCAGTTGTCACCTTCAATTTGGAATGATTAATCCCTCCATGAATAGGGAATCATTTGTGTCCTTCTCTTTTTAATTATTCTCTCATTTCCTCTTCCTTTAAAACGAGGTCCTTCATATGATGTCTGTGAATGTAAGAAGGGCAAATGAGGCTTTTATTCTTTTACCATATATAGAACTCCTCAGAAGGCACAAAATTTTGGAAACCAGCATATTGAAACAACTCTTAAAGAGAAAACATTTAGTCACCTTTGAGTTTTTGAAGCACCACTACCAAAACCTAACCTTAAAAGTGTGTAAATGAGATCGCTGGTGTCTTTCACGGTTGCGATTGTTAAATTCTGCTTCCTGATCCTTTTCATAGTAGGATTTCTCATATGTTGACAGGACAGTATGTATAATACTTAAGATCTCTCTGTTGCTGGAGTAAAATAATGTCCCTCTCTGCTAAAATGTATTACATAGCATGTTATAGAGGGTGCTCTCAGAGGCTGTGTAGTCTAGTCTGGAGGATTCATTGCTTATTCCAGACGACTCAGCCCTCCATTCGCACGACTATAAATTGTGACTTAATTTTTTATGCTCTGGTATCTCATTATACCAAGTGGAGTGTTTCCCCAGGTCGTGCTCTTTTTTTCTTTTTGTTTCAAAACAAGGAGGAACAGGAGGGAGGTTGGTTTGAAAACGTGGTTAAAAGGGGGAATCTGATATAAATCTGCGAGATATTTAAACCAACTGTACTATTTCCTCTCAAGCTGATTTATTATCATAATGCAGAATCAACAACCCAACTCACCTAGTATCCAACAAGTAGTAATATATAATATTATAAAATAATAAATATACTGTAGGGCTGCAATTTGCTAAATAAAAGATTATTAGCTTTAAAAGATGTCACAAATGCTCATCAAAATTTCCTGAAACCCTGGGTGGCATCGTTAAAGCACTCCGGCCAACAGAGAGAAAATAACCTGCAAACCATTTGTTGATTAGTCAATTATTTGTAATAATTGACTAATCAACTAATTGATTCAGGTTTAATATAGTATATTGCGTAATATACTGTACGTATGTTCCAGAATGACTGGAGCTGGTTTCCATTTTTACTCATGGAGATAATATGTATTAGTGTGTACGAGTGTATCAGAGGGAACAGGAGATGGACAGGACTTTAGGAGGAGGCTGTGGCTACATCACGAAGATGATTCTCTGCTCTCACTTCTGGTCTGAAGGAATGCATTACACCATTGCGGCCTATGTTTACTATGCACTGCCTTGACTCTGAACTAAAAGCCAGCGCTGTTTATAGACTGGCCAGTTGAACAGGAGACACATGGAGATGGTCAAACAAAGCAGTAGGTCAGTGGAAGCTCTCTATGTAGGTCACCGAGATTGTAGCACTTCCAGTAGGCTCTTAGATCACCACAGAGGTTAAAACCTGGATGCTCAAAACTGGTTTCACCTTCTGAGGCAGAACTGTGCTCCGAGTATAAAGGTATATATTTCTCCACTGAGCAGTGTGACACGGAGAAGCTGGAACACAGTGACCTTGTCTCTGTAGAAAGCTGTGTTGTCTTTTTGACAATTGAAAAAGATGACGCGACTCGGTCGGTTTCCGGAGCTCAGTTGTTCAGTGGTGAGAACTGCTCAGCATCAGATGGCGGCTGTCTTTGCACGTGGCCTCCTGCTGCCTCAGCTGGCCTGCAAGGGGTTAATTCCCCCTCAGAGGTGCTCAGGTTTCCCGCCAGCTGTCTGTACTCTCAGCTGTCTGTACTCTCACCCCCATCCTGTCCCCTGTCCCGTACCTCACACAGGTCTGACTCTGCTTAGTCTGCCACACACAGACACACACTCTCTGTTACCACTGTGGCTACAATGTGCTACTTGCTGCCACGCCGCTGTTAGCTTTCTTGACGTACGTTATCTAATGTGGCTGGAGTTTTCTTCTGCCTTCATTGGCACTATCGTCTTCTTCTGGTACCATCTTAAAGATTTTTTTTTCATTTTTTTTACCTTGTTTTTTTGTACCTGTATCATGACGTACAGTAATATCTGTAACGCCTCCGCCAGTGTAGAGTTGAGTAGTCCCCCATTTGTCTTGTGAACATTAATGAAACAACCGTCACTTTAACTCAAAATCTGAAAGTCTCCCGGGAGAATGAAGACGTGGTGACAGCTGTGTCACAGTCTGACTGTCAGCAGTCACTGTGTGATGAATAGCAGGGCTGAAAGTTGTATAGTAAATGGATTGTAGGTTGTTGTTGTGTGAATTTATTCAGTTTACCCTTTTGGTCGAAAGGGCAGAACAACTGTGAGTCCTCGGTGTAGCCCTCCCCCTCCAACTTTCCAGCTGCTGTTTAACTAAAGAGGTAAAGGACCTTGGACCGTCAGAACCCCTCAGCAGTGCCTGGGTCTGAGCGGCAGACGAGCTAACTAACTGCTCAGCACTCTGTGGCTCTGTGTTTTCCTGTTGATTCAGAGCAGCTTGTATAAGACAACACCTGCTTAGCCATCTGTATGCCTAGAAGACTCTGAGTTCGCTGCAACACCCTTGATCATTTATTGGTTATTAATTAAGGAAAAATGCCAAACATTGCAGAGTTCTATCTCCTTAAAGGATTTTACAGTTTTTTATTAATGTGAATTTGGACGGTTGTGGACCAAACAACCCATCAAATTAAACTCCTACTAAAAGATTTTATTGAATACCAAGATGCGAGTAGACTGCAATGTGGCTGAAGACTGGGAGCTTGTCTGTACAGTAGCTCCACCTCCATGTTTGCATGATAGTGTGTGGTTGGACAGCCTTATCAGTTGAGTCCATGCTGGATCCTCCAACTCTCACCCATGTAATCAGTCACATATAAAAACCAATAGTGCTTTACTAAGAGAGGTTGGCCTTGCCTGCTCACACGCTACCTTTCTGTTATTCATAATGAAAGTGTCAGAATTTCAAGCTTAGAAGTTGTAACACAGCTCATCCTCTTGCTTTCTCATAGTAAGCCTGTCTGTTGGGACACGAGGTTTCGTTTCCAGACACTAAACCTGGATCATTCACTCACTATTTCTGTTACACTGTTGCACTGTGAAGAGTGATTTGCATCATGACACAAACTTTGTCCCAGTTCCGAGGCTAGGACACAGCCACCAAAGATATGTCCCTTGTAGGACCTGATTTAAATACTGACCCTGCACCTTCTCCCCAAATAATATTGTCTAGCATCAGAGTCAAAAATTATGGTTTTCAACTTGTAACATCAAATATCAATCAAATAAGGCTGCCCTCAAACAGCCAACAAAGTGTAACTCCAGAGTTTTGAGTGCGAGTTGAGAATACATGATGTACAACTAACATATAGTGTACCAGGTTAACGGTAAAGACAGTGTAACTTGCACTTCTATGAAGCTGGGATGACTCAGAAGAGACAGACATAAAAAGAAATTGTCAAAATCAAACCAGGAGGACGGATATCCAAGATATCCTGACTGATAGCCCCTAGTGTGGGTCAAGCCCAGTCAAGCAATACTGGATCCTACGTTTCCCATAAAACATTATTTCCTCAGAAGATGTTATGAAAATGTTTTCACAGACTGAGTTGTACTGTCCATGACTATTTAACTACAACAAAGAGTGGAGTTTATGTCTGGCCTCCATTATTTACATTGTGCAATCGATTTTTTTATTTATACAGTTCGAGTGATTGCCAATGATCCTGGTATTTCTTTAAATATATTTTTGGGCTTTAGTAGATGGTATGTGGTAGAGAGCAAATAGGATAGGAGAGGGGGGGGGGTGACATACAACAAAGGTCCCTGACTGGACTCGAGTGCGGGATTGAAGAGGGGCACTGAGGACTGCAAAGGACAGACGGGGTTGTGTCCTCCAAATTCAGGGAAAAGAAAGCTGCATCCGGTGGAGCCTCTGAAATGGGACAGGTTATGTGATTTTCCCATGTACCATACAAATGTAGAGAATCAGAAGATCCAGCCTCTAAAATGAGAGTGAGCACATGTATCCTTGATGCACTCGCATGCAGCTGGTTTCTATGTTCGAAGCCCCCCCCCACTTTGCTTCATTTCATACTGTATAAATGCACATCTGTATTCACATACAATCACCTGGAATCAAACCCTCCAAGAATATTGAACCCACATAGAAATGCAAACTCTTTCATGCCTTCTAATGTGCTGGCCCATTCCCATTCTGCTATTACAGATCATTAGTATCACGTGATAAGTGTTTTTGTAAGTGCATAGAAACAGGCATGGTGGGTTTAGATGTTCTTTATAGTCCCGGCCTAACGCCTACCCTGCTCTTATCATGCAGCCCACTCACCAACACATACTGCTCTGCTGTTCAATGGATGTTCACATTAGTGTGTGTTTTGATGTTACATCTCACCTCCTTTGATCTTAAGTAAATGCGACCATCTCACCTGTCTGATTTCTGCCCCTTTTTACAGATGAAGTAACATGTTCTGTGGTCAGTTAGTTGTTATAGTAACTCGACAAAATACAGAAGGGCAGAAATGATTTCTGTTCCTCGTCAGTGGAGTTAGGATTCGCAGCCATGTTACTACAGCTGAATGATTTATAGGTCTTTCTTATTGTTGTGTCACCATCTTATATCGAAATTCATTGTTGAAAACAATTTTTTTTCTCCAACTTACATTTTAGACACTCAGAGAAACGCTCTCACTTTCTGCACTGCTTTGTATTTTACATATGGATGCTATTAGAGGGGTCCCGGCCTGTTTCTCCACCCTGTTCGTGTGATTTGCCCTGAGTCTATTAAAGCCCACTCTGGTTTCTGTCAGCCATCCATTGATCCCTGAGCATACTGCAATTATTAAAGACTTCTCCTCCTGCCTCCCCTGCTTTCAGCTCCTCAAAGAGGAAAAGCCCCATTAATGGTGTTGTTTTAGGTGTCCTCATGTGAAACTCTCCCTCTCATGTTGCTTTTACATGCTCTATTTATTTATTTATTCATTTATTTCTTTATTTATTGTTAGCAGAGTGGAGCAAGTGCTAATGTGTGGAAATACTAGCAACTTCCAGGTAGTCATAAATACCATAAAGAGGTTTCACACATCAAGTTCAGTTTACTCATCAAGGTAAACCTGATGATGTCTTCAGGTTTACCTCGGATTTGACTTCAGACTTTTTATTATCTATTTTATTATTTATTATCATCGTGTCATCAAATGGTCTGCCTCTGTCTTCCCTGCTCACAGCGTTTGCTTCCTCCCCACAGGATACACTGAAGCCGACGTTCACGGTAGCCAGCCTACCAGGCACTACCAGCAGCTCCCAGTCCACGGTACCCACCACCTCCACCACCATGCAGGTGAGCAGCGGGCCCTCTTTTCCCATCACCAACTACCTGGCGCCCGTCTCGGCCAGCAGCAACGTCAGCGCCAACGGCACCGTCCTCAAGACTGCCGGTGCCTCCACGGGGGTCATGCAGCTGCCCGGTGGCTTCACTTTCATGCCCGGTAGGTAGGGGAGCAAAAACATGGGGTGTCTTGTCCTCAACATCCAGATCTATGTTGCAATTCTTAATTCTTTCTTCTTCTTCTTTATGGCTTGTTTATCTTACCGCCATCCTTTAGAATCTAAATGAGACTTCTGCAGACCTTTGTGTTTTGTTAATGTCACCGTGTTGTATAGTTTATTAGCTAATTAGAATTTGAATGCCATCCCCCCGTGACCTCAGCCGTCATCTCAGGGGGTTTGTGCCTCTCTCTCCAAGCTGTTCACGTCACACAACAGCTCTTCATAGCCCGTCACTAACACTCAGCACCCTCGGTTTTTACAAAGCCCCCCGTATCCAGGAAAGCCATGTCTATTGGCGACTGGCCCTGCCTTTGATTATCACTTGGGGACAGGAATAATTAGATGAGAGGGACACAATAGACCTGGCAATGAGGGTTGAAGAACACGGCTCCTAATTAGTCATGAATATTCAATAAAGGATCAGTGGCTTGTGCTGAAATTATAATTGAGGTGTACTTTGTGGAGCTGGAGCCTTGTGACAGAGTGGTCCTGAACTAGACATGACCCTTCATTAAGGGGGACCTCACAGACACACTCTGAAACACAAGGGATCAGTGCATCAACTCAATTGAGGACGTTGGGGCAGCAGCCTCTGATGTGGGGATCCCCAAAGTGTTTCTAAATTGGTTTTCCCCAGTAATTATTTATTACACTTCCTTTTCATGGTGCATGTGCTGGGAAAATATTGGATCTACATTTGGGGGGGGCTCCAAGAGGGACCTGTGGAAGCCAAGAGGTCACGATTCCCCCAAAGACATGAGGAATATTTGAATTTCACAATAATTTGATATTATCCCATCTGTATAAGAAGCTCAGTGCGCTGGACCATTTATCTGGACTGTCCATGACATAAACAGGCTGGCTGACACTGAAACTCTGACTGATGCAATCTCTTTCTATTGTGTAAGTTGTTGTTGTTACCATGTAGACAAGAGTCCGTGTTGCACGTGTGAAGCCGAACAGGCCCAGTGCTCGTCAGCCTTTTCTCAGTCCTGGCAGTAATGTCTCTAGTGAGTTGTTGCAGTGTGTTGGTTGACAGCGCTCTGCCACAACCGAACGGACGGACACATGATGCCCACCAATGGGTCCTATGTTATTTTGACGGACAGCTGAAGGACAGCCAGGCTTCTGTGTCTCTGTTCCCTTTCCTCCCTTTTTTTTTCTTCCATCTTTCTCTTCCTTTTACAAGCTTCTCTCTCACCATCGCTCTCGTTCCACCCTCTCCCTCCCTCTACTGCTCTCTCTCTTGCCCACTTACTCACTCCCTCTCTCCTCTTCACCACCTGTCTGGCACATAGCAGCAATGCCAGGTGGAACAACACACCCTCCCACACTCAAACCTCCTCAGCTGGCAGCTTGGAAGGGCCTGCCCACCCGACTGCAGCAACTGTCTATAATGAAGCATATGACGAAATGTGAGGGCGTAACTCCACAGTCATGTGCCCAAATGAAATATCTGTCATTTGTTAAGAAAAAGCAAGTTGAAAATGGAAACATCACGCAACATTTGCAAAGGATTTGGGGCTCACAAAATGATGCACATCTTAAGAATTTTAAATGTCACGTCACAGATTTACAGATTCATTTTTACATCCTTTAAGAATTACTAGAATATACAGAGAGCTTTAAAGTAAACAAAAATGTCATTGTGCTGTCCAATCACTTAATAAAGTCGTACAGTATGTGTCACTTGACTCAAACTTTAACTTACAATGTAACACTACGTTAAATTAGAACGTAACACCAACTTAAAGGCACCCTGTGGAGGTTTTGACCACTAGTAGTGCTATGGAGCAATGTGTTTAACAGTGAATCCCTGTTTTATGCACATGCACAAGGATGCAAAACCATTTGCACGTGCACGCAGGCAGTGCAGTTCACATCCTGCCGTAGGGTTCTGACAAGACAGTTGGTGTCGGTAACGTGCCAGCAAACGTAGCAATGTGCCAACAAAGGGGAAGAACATGTAGACATAAAGAAATGTACAATAAATTAAAATGAACTTCACATTTAGAAATTGGCTTTGCAAATATTTTATGAGGAAGAAAATGCACTCAACACAAGTAAACAACTTTTGTTCACTCCACCTTCAAAGATCTAATACTTGAAAATTTAGAAAAAAATCACTCAAGTTGCTGCTTTCTTTGTTGCACTGCAGTTACTGTATGTTATCCTCCAATCATATAGACTAATAGATAAATAATATTCAATAATATTCCATTTTTATCAAATGTAAAAATATTTTTGTGAACCTTGCATCCCTCACTAAACAGGGTTCATCTGCTGCCATTCTCTTTCAGTCTTGAGCAATTGAAGATTGTAGAAACGTTCACTGGCTGAAATCAACTGAAGTTATTTGCACTTTTTCAAACTGTTCTATCCTTTCGCATTTAGTCTTATCCCCCCCCCCGCCCCCGTGTGTATGTGTGTGTGTGTGTGTGTGTGTGTGTGTGTGTGCCTCTTCAGCAGGCACTCCTCTCCCCCCTGGTACCCCCACCATTCCTCTGAGCCAGCTGCAGCAGCACTCTCTGGCCCTCCAGGGGCAGCATGGTCAGACCCTGGCCGCCGCCCAGCAGCCACAGCAGGGACAGCAGGCTGTATTCCGCTTCCCTGCTGCTGTCTCCCTCACAGGTGACCTGCTCTGCATGCTGCCACCACTCTGTCTGCTTTTACTAATCACAATCATATCTTCACTTCTTAAATGGCTGCTGCTAATGCTACCTCTTCTGCTGTGAATGATAATGATGCACCTTATGCTAGTAAGTGCTACTGTATGCCAACCCCACTGCTGCACCCCCAATGCAGGGGTATGTTCTACTCCCTGTGTGGGGAGTTTGATGACTTACTGTAGCCGCTGTGTGTCTCCAGGAGCGGGGGTTCCCCAGCAGCTTCAGGCTATCCAGGTCCACCCCAACACCCAGTCCACCTCCAACAACGACAGCAGCCCCGAGATCTCCCACACCTCCACAAACTCCACGGGTAGGTCAGATCCCCTCTCTGGGAAAGACTCTGCTGTCCTGTCTCTTTCTGGTTGGATTAAAGTTTCTTTAACCTCTCTGTGGATGAGAATTTGTAGGTTTTTTTCAGAGAATCATATTCATTTAAAAACTATGTACGTAAGTGCTCCAAATGGTGGCAGGAGGTCACCAGAAAATAAAAGTCAAGTATCCAAAATTAATGTAATCTAATGACGACATAGTAGCATTTTAGTTTCACTTGTGCACAAACCCACGATCAGAATTTTAGTTTGGCCTTAAGATGCGAATATACACCGTCTCCGTGAGTGGAGATGGTGTCCTCTTGTGTGTTGCTGTCCCACTTTGTACCACACAATAGACAAAAGTGTTTTTTTTTTTTTTTGCTCGCAATATTCTGTGTTTCATTCTGTTCTTGTTTGGGTTGAGCTGAGTCCTAAAGCTAAATATTGTGGTGCTGCCTCACTCGACATAAGTAGGAGTTAGTAGTTGAATTTGGATAGATATGAAGCGCCATCTGCTGGCCTACATCTGTGCACAGCTCTTACCGTGAGTATGACGAGCTTTCTTTCCCTCCCCCGCCCTCCCACCGCTCGCCTTTCAGCCACGGTGAGTCTCCCAGCAACCATCGTCACCTCGTCGGTGCCAACGTCTGTGGCGGGTCACATGATGTACCCCAGCCCCCACACAGTAATGTACGCCTCCACGCCGGCGCTGGCTGACGGGGGGCTGGCTGTGCTCAACGCCTTCTCCCAGGGCACCTCGGCCATGCAGGTGTCCCACGCACAGGCCCAAGACACAGGTGAGACACTGATCTACTCTCTTTGAACTCTTTCCTGAATGACAGAGGAGGATTAATATGTAATTTGTAAATCAATTCAAATTAAGATAAATACACTGGTTATCCTGGAGAGTTTGCTGATGGAAAATGATGTTTTTTTTTTATTCTCCACAGGTGCTGTCCCTCAGGTGTTCCTCACAGCACCTCCAGGCACGGTGCAGATACCTGTCTCAGCGGTGCAGCTACACCCAGTACGGCAAGATCTGCATTTTACAAGTGAAACTCTCATATTCCCTATGCAACCAGCATGCCACGTGACCGCACTTATGCATCCTAACAGAGCACTGTCACACAGAGGCCGCAGGGGTTATTGCCTGTTGCCTCTTTGTCTGAATGTGGATGATCAGCCGGCATCTTGTATTACCTGTGATTTGCAGCAAAATACACATGCAGTAGACTAAACAAAACACCACTGTTACAGTGCATGGAAACCAAACGTTTGATGTTTTTATTTACTTTATAGAATCCAGTAATGAAGGAAATCATAGGGAATTACTTATTGTAAGATAGTGTAAAATATGTTGGTATTTTTTGAATATATACAGCTGGAAAAATCCCATAAAACGATAGGTTATAAAAACACACCTGTCCTATTAATGTGAATTTCACACTACAGAATATGATTTCTTAGAGTGAGCATCTTAATTGTTACAGGAAACATGATCTATTACAGTGTTACATCGCTCCATGATAAACAGCATGCAGTTTAGCAGGATCTCCATCTGTGCTGGGTGCTGTGTGATGTGATGACTTGTGATTGGCTGTCTGATAGGCCCTGTACTCTCTGCTGACGTAGCTGCATTGTGTTCCAGATGGTGATTGGCCAGCAGTCGAGCGGCAGCAGCAGTAACCTGACGGAGCTCCAGGTGGTCAATTTGGACGCCACACAGAACTCGAAGAGCGACTGACAGACGGCTGGAGCTGTTTAACACAGCAGACCCAGGGACTCAGACAAACAGACAGACTGACTGACATCTCTATTTATTGATGCCTTCCGACAGTTTCACATCACACTTCTGAATGTGACTTTAAAGAACATATATATATACACACACAATCAAGGGCATATGTGTGGCTGACCCTTATACAGTATACAGTATGTTTTGGTATATAAATATATATATATTCGCAAATGCATAGGAAATATATATCACTACATCCATCATCGGAACCTATTTTCTATGCCGTTAGATGGTGTCTTTTTTTTTTTGTGTGTGTGTGTGCGCGTGTGTTTTTTGAAAATGTGTAATTACATGTACACACACTGCAAGGTGCCACAGCTTCACACCAGCCAAAGAGACATTTGTTTGTCTGAATGTTCCAGTGTGAGCAATTTGTGCACAAGCGTGTGTCTGTGTGCGCGTGCATATCTGGGGTTTGTAAATGGGCGGGGGAGAAGCTTATTGACTTAAAAAAAAAAAAAAAAAAAAAAAGAGGGGGGGAAAAAAAAAAGACACATTTGGAAATGTACATATTTTTTTTAAAATTGAAAACTCGTATTTTTAGCCTGGTTTAGTTTGTGCAACGGCATGTAGTTGTTTTTTACGTAGTGGTTTTGTATGTACATGAAAATGATTTGCATAAAGAAAATGAATTATTTACATGTATATGTAAATTAATTTAATATACCATCATATGTTGCGATACTGTCATGCTGTTGGGAGCTTTCACTACAAGATGGAGAAAGAACGCTGGATGTTTTTCTACATTTTTTTGATTGTGGCATTTGTAGGACTGTCCCTGAAACAGTATCAAGTACCTGGGTCACAAAATGTAAACATAAGATATTTATGATTTGCTGTAAACACATACTTCGCTTTAGCTGGGAAGCTTTCGGTGCATCTGATGGCATGATTGTTAAGCATGACATCAGTTTAGCATGAGATGTTTCCTAATGAGGCCCTGACCTGGCACTTTGAGTGTAGAAATTGTTTAAACTATGACAATCTGATGGAAATCATTTTCATTTATCTCAACTTTTAGCATAATGCTATCTACATGTTCACCAGTGTTCACACACAAATGTGAATACAATTCTAACATTTAAAAAACTTGACTGTCACACACAGTTAATATCCTTAAGTGACTTGTTCACTTACTTTGAAGTGTGTGACTTGTTTCTCTGGGTAAAAACCTGAGCGTGCCAAACAGGTTTTCAGGACATCAGACAAATAAATGAACTCTATGTTGTCTAACGTGATCCACTGTAAACCTGTTGTTCTGATTTGCCTCCACCAGACTGCAGAACTTTCATTATGTGATGCTACTACTGACTTGAGTCAGGGCATTGGACACAAATCTCATTTAACAAGACAGTGTATTAGACCTGGCAATTCCACTTAACACTGCAATCAAAGCATTAGTGTTTCCTCTAATGGAAGTACCGTGTTATTCACTGTTGTCTCAATGCTGTAATATTAAAACGGTAATGACTATGAAGACTTTTAGGAGAACAAGGATCTCTTAATTTGGAAAGGTGACTTCAGATATTATACTCCTTTAACGAGAACTGTAAGACCACAGCTGACTGCAATCTCAGTATGTACCTCAGCAATCATTAAGAATGAACAAGAGTTATTAGACTGAGAGCCTTCTTTCTGCACCATAGTGCCTCTTTTCCGTGGCTGTTTCCTAAATCACTGCAAGGCAAGGGAAGTGTAGGATTTACTTATTTCCAGACCACCTCACATGACTTTGGACCTGTCATACAATCCTCAGCTGTGCCCGGAGAGTGAGATTTTTGACTCATTTCTACAGAATTAGCTGGATGACTGAGCATGGCAGGCTGGAAGCCAAAGAGAATCTGACACAGGATAAAGTACCCATGCTGACTGCTGTTCAGTTACTCACTGGCGAGAGAGGTCATTTTCACGCTCGATGTTCTCTGGTATGTTCCTGTAGGCTACATGTTGTCATGTCATCCTGCAGTGCTGTTTGAATACAAAAAAAAAAAAACTCACACGATGAAGACTTTCAATTGTCCCATTTTATCTGGTGGTTGAGAAGAAAGATTTTTTTTTAAAAGATTATTGAACAGAATTTGTGGTTTTCACCTTGTCACTGAAAGAAGTGGTTATTTTGTGTATTTTTGTTTTGTTGTACAGACATTTTGTAATAAAAAACAAGATAAAACACAGTGAACTGTTCAAAGAATGACCACATCTGCTGAAGAACTTTTTTTTTTTTTTAATTGGGACGGAGAATGTTAAACAAAACCATATTGTCCTGAATGAGACCTAATACATGTGTATAACAGCAGTGATGAAATGAAGACGGCTGATGAGGAATAAATGAACTGCAGTGATCGCTTCTTATTACTCTGTGAAGCACTGGGAGGCAGGAGGAGTGAGCATGCACATTACCTTAATGTTTCAGTTATGCATTGCACAATCACATAATCAAACTGGCCATGAGATAGAAGAAGTGTAATGAGACTCATCCCGTTTCACACCAGAGGAAAGAAGCGATGAACGTGATGAAATGCAGTACAATGATACAGTGATTGGTCTAAGCTGACACAAGGAAAGAAATCAGTTGGCATCAGATTTTTGACTATACCGAGAGTCCTGTACATCTTCACGAACCAAATAAAGTCTATGTAACACAAGAGAAAGAAGCATAATAAGATCACAACAAACTGTAGTGAAGCAGAAACCCCTTACACATCGATTCTAGGAGTCCTCAGAGATCCACAGTGTGAAGTAAGGCATCATATCTCCCTGTCAGAGCAAAGTGCTGACAGCTAAGAAATCATCACAGATGGCTGGACTGCCTTTTTTTTTTCTCTTTCTTTAAACAAAGAAAAATAATGTATAAGCATGCATTTACACCAGGTAGTATATCTCTATTGCTATTGTACACATACAATATACAACTGTACAGAAAAAGTTGGAAAGATAGTTGATTTAAAAATGTGCATGATTGACAATTTAAAAAAAGTTTCCCATTAAAATAGAAATGTTACTCCTGGTTCAGGCTAGATTTTTTTTTTGGTTTATGAAACAAAACATTTGGAAAGCAAACAAACAAAAGCTTTTTGTTGTGTATATTTACAATATGAACAAGGATGAAGAAAGACAATGTGCAAATCTGATTCCATGCAAGCCGTTGCATAATGTAGCTTAGGTGCTTGAGTGATATGAGTTAAAGGTGGGACCAGAAGAGAGAAAGGGGGGTGGGGGGGTGGGGGCTTCAATGAACGACTCTGCCCATTCTCCACCGCATTAAGTCGTCACACACACCTAAACAAGCTCGTCGTCAAACATACCAACCCACCAATCATGGAAATATTCACACTGGGAACATAAGATGAGAACCTAAGTTACAAGAAGTAGCATCTTAATTTAGACTAACTGGAATCTCTGATCTGTGAGATGAGATGAGATTTATAGTTTCCGACCGAGATATCCAGCTAACGTGCAACCCAACAACCTGTTCCAGCAATACACAGCACCGTGAGTACATTTCATCATCATTTAAGATCAGCATGAAAAAGTAATACTGCCAGTAAACGCAGCACCTCACAGGACGTGATGATAAGCTGTGGAGGGACCCAGAGCTCAGTCACTGGTTTCCAAACTGGGGGTGTGCGCCGCAAAAATGTTTTTTTTTTTTTAAGACTTTCTTCTAATTTTTTGTTTTTTTTCTGGTGAATTACTTGATGATTTCAAATAAATACAACAATCTGATCCAGAAACCACAGCTGTAATTAAATAAAATCAAGGTTATCTCCCTCTGCACCCTCCCATGGGTATCTCTTAGACAAAACGAATACTGGTGTGTGAGAAATGCAACACTGTGTCCGTAGAACGACATTTCGGAACAAAAACTTAAGCAGAATCAAAATCAAGATATTTCTTTCCATAAATGCCAACCTGACATTTCCTGAACGCCAACCAAAAAAAACTAAAAGCATGAATAAACTTGAATAATGTAACAAGTGCAATGTAATGAGGTCCATGTGCAAATTCACATAACTTGCAAAATTCACCATTTCATTGAGAAAAATGTGATGGATGGTGATGTCTTTGGGTGACGGTGATTACAGATGAGCTTTGACAGCACAAGCACTTAAAGACAAACGAAGGAAAGACAAGGAAAACAAACAAAGTAAATAGCATCCGCTTAGTCAGTCATGACTTTGACTGTTTTAAATTCATTCCATCTTAATATGACATTAGTTAAAAAGGCAACCTGAAAGCAAACAAATAAATAAAAGGACTTGGCATTTAAAATGATTGCAGTATCGTAAATACTGCAGATCACTATTCATGTAACTACAGGGCTGAGGGTCGTGGACTCTGGGTGGGTCTCTGCAGCCTCTTGTCTTCAAACAGACATGTGAGAAGGGTTAAGATAAAAATGTTTCAAAAGGAAACAATTTTCTGTAACTGAAAGGTGTGACACCACACTAAGGCAATGACGTTTACAAATGGGTGACAATGGGAGAGGAAATAAATACACAAACATCTTTTCTCCTTGACATAATAATTACAGGGCTTTCATTTTTTGGCTGGTGAGAAGGAAAGATGGAAGGGGGTGGGGCAGTGAGAGAAAATGCAGAGGCTGAAAAAAGTCCAGTGAAAATCTCTCTGCACCTCAGCCTCTATCCTCCTCCTCCTCCTCCTATTCCCCTGCCGGCTGGGCAGTGTCTGTGCTCTGACCTGCTCAAAAACAAGACCAAAGACTTTTTCTGGTGGAGCCCGAGAGGCCAGAAGAGGGGGAGTGATGAAACCCATCGGCATGGGCATTAACAGTCTTGCAGGGATGAGCAATTAGTGGTAATGTTTTGCCGACCCTGTGCCACCGGTAGCACCACACCCCAAAGGCCCAGTTTTATCATGACCTGTCTGCCTGGCCGAGGCAGATGGATGAGCAGCAGGAAAGATTACGGTGAGGAGGACGCAGCTGCATGGTATTTGACAAAGGCGATGGCTGCCAGCTCTTTGCAGAACTCCTCTAGCACGATCACCCCCTCCAGCAGAGTCATGTGGTCGATACTAAAAGAGGAAAAGACAGATTAAAAACTGCATCCACAAAAATAAACAGAAGATAAGTGCACCGATCCATGTGGAAGTCCGTACTTGATGCCCTCTGGCTCTAGACCTAATAATCTCTTCCTCACGAGCAGCAGTTTGGGTGTGAAGTCTGGGATGCGATGAATCCTCAACATGAGATCTCCCACCACCTAACACATGCAGGAACAGAGACAAATACCAAAACTCAACATCACTGCTTCAATCCCTGGGTTACAGTGCAACACCATGGCCCTGTTCAGACCTGGCATTAACATGTGTCTTCAGTGATCCGATCACCAGCGGAGAGAAGAGAGTGGAGTAGGCAGTAGGCGGTCCTTCAATGTGGCCCAGGATGCATTTGCGTTCACACTGCTAAAAGAATGTGGCCACATGTGTCCCAGACCATCTCTGAACGTGGTCTGAGTGATCAGTTCTCAAATGTGTCCTCAATGCGTCTTGGGTGCATTCACACATGAACTTAGATCTGTCCACTTGTGATCAGATCACCCGTGACAGATGTTAATGCCAGGTCTGAACATGACCCATGACTGTAATAATTACCACAAACAAAAGAGAACATCAACATGAAAATTTGCTGCTTCCACCAGCCTATTAACTGTTGTTTACACTGTGCCACTGGGACAGATTTCAAAGAAAAGTAATTGCAGTGATTCACAGAATAAGACAGTCAGAGAGGTGGTGTTCTTCCAGTCAGAAGCAGGTCGAGTAACAGCATGCTCACAAGATTACTGGGAAATGAGTTTCAGGGAAACACTTGCCCTTAGTTTACACACAGGCCAACAGTTGTCTCAAACATGATTGTTTTACTTTTGTTGCACCAAACACTTTTGGAAATACAATACTACACCTGAAAAAATGAACATCAAGCAAGACAAGGAAGAAATCTCAACACGCCCAGACAACTGCATGGCAGTGTCAGCTATCAGGGATGGATAAGATAACCAATGTCTAATCTAGACAGGAGTCTTACCCTGACAATGACAGAGAACAGAGACCTGCAGCCAGGGGCCAGGCTGATATAAGGGTCCAGCAAGTACTCGTGCAAGTGGGGGTGTGGTAACAAAGACAGCTTGGACAGCACAGCGGTCACCTGCAGGTTAACATCGTAGGGCTGGAAGACAGAGGAGACATCAGACATAAACCTGTACACTGAGACGGAAAATGAACTGGGGATGAAGTGTGAAAAATGTGAGGAAATTTTAAAATCTGTCCATAAAACATAAATGTGTGTAGAAACACTGGCATTAATATATAACAGAATGCCTCACATTAGTCAGAAGGTGTTAATGAGAAACACGATAATTAATATAAACTCTCCCTTGAAGCATTTTGAAAATCAAATTAAATAGTTGATTTCCCAAAACGCACAGAAAACCTAAGAGCTGCCAAAAATTGCATTTTGTTTCTGAATCGCATTTAGTCGTCTTCATAGCTCCATTTAACATCATTTGTCAAATTATGTTTATCGTGAGCCTTCGTTATTTTTGTTTTTAGTTTTTCACAAAATAGATGGCCTCTGCATAATCAGCAGCTCATTTTTCTCTTCACTTTGCATTAGTGGAATCACTTTTAGACATAAGAGTAACTCATTTACATTCAGCTGCACTGAACTGTTTTCTTGTGGCAAGAAATTACAGTTGTGTGTATGGGATCATTAAATCTGAGTGACAATCAGTCTGAATTGATCTGCTTCTTAAAAAACAAATAAGGATTTTTGGTTAAAATCAGTAAAAACAGAAATGCTGGCTCTTACTTAGTTTGACCTTAAATACAATTTTGTGCATGCAGAAAGCTTAATTCACTCACTGGAATCTGGTTGTGCATGTCAAGCTGGGTCAACCAGTTTAACTCAAACCTTGCCTTGGAAACTTATCATCTGAGATTCACTGAGTTTGATAGGTCTTCATATTTCCATCAACTAAAAGGCAGTTTAATTTTTATTCAAATGGCACTCCATGCACAGCACAGTACCTGTTCTGTTTGCTTCATTTACTTTCTAGAGCCAATGGGGCATTTGTGATTTCCAAGAGATCGCTTTTTTTTTCTTGCTATTTAGACTTGTGGACTAGTGGAGTGTAACCGATATTTCAACAGTAAAGCGTGCGGTTGTTCTGAACAATGCCAGTATAACTACGTATGTTTACTATATGGTGAATCAAACTGACCTGATCAAGGATGCGACCCATCCTGTCGAAAAGAACCTTGAGGAAATGGCCCTCGAAGAACGCAATGTCCAAGTTACATTTCTCAAGAGGCTTTGGATTTCCTCTCCAGTCCCACCGCTGGCAGACCCCACAATAGTCCCTGAACTGAGGGGAACAATTAAGAAAAATGATTAGCAACAGTAGCTAAGAAGCTGCCTCGGAATTATTAAGGTAAAAACACAGTTGGAAAAACTAAAACTTAATTTTCTCTTCAATGTTATTTGTCCAGTGTATCTGTAGCCTTACCTGTCTGTGTGCATCTCTGAGGTAGGTGTCATACCCTGTGCCTTCAACATGATACGATGACTTGGCCTCATCAGGCACCAAACACAGGAAACTGCAGGAATAAAATTCTTAGTTAGAACTTTAAAAAGGAAGGCAGGCCGAGCACCTCACGTTGTACCATGAGCAGGACACTACACCTGTTGACAATCTTGTGGACCTCTGTCTTCCCGTCAGACTTGGCGTGGTCAGGACTCTGCTGTGGAGAGGAGCTGAGCCAATCAGAACCAGACAACCTGCTCTCTGGAGAGAGGTCGTCACCGAACAGTGGATCCTCCTCGAGATCTCTGCACAAAAGGTACATGTTCAGTAAAAATTACTTATACTTATCAGATTTCAAGGATTTCTTCATCCCTTAACACAATGCATAGCTTGGTTGAGAGACCCACTGGTGGCAATATTGTGAGCTATTTGATCTGTTCTAACATTTCAAACACAGAGTTCAGAACTACATGGGCTGATAGTAATTTATAACACTATGGGTCTGTTGTATAATATGGTAGGGGGACAGATTTTAAATTGAGTTTTTCTGGAAAGACATGTGTTTGAAGATATACTTAACAAAAAAAATAAGCATAGAAGAAAACTAATCAATTATAAATTTAGACTTCTTGGGGGTTTATGTCTTATTGTGATTTTCATTCATCACATAAACCTAAGCAAGAATAAACAAGCAAATTATTTATCATTATGTTTCAGTCTCCCCAAAGTGACTTATAGTAGTAAGTGGCTGACATGCATTATCATGATCCCACTTAATGATGACTCAAAAGAGTCCCACCAGTTGAACAGACAGTAATGAATGATGCAGAGGAGGTGGCAGGACATCTGAAAAACACAGCTAGTTGATGCATTGACTTTATTTCAGCCGATGTGTGTTTGTGCAAAGGATTTTCCACAAAGTGCATGTAAAGCAGGCAGCTCAGCGAGGTCAAATGTCAGATGCAGGTCCTTACACGGCATCATGGGGCTGGCCGTTCTCCAGGGGCTCCCTCTCCTCCTGCGGCTTGTTCTCCAGGTAGTTCCTTTCCTCCAGGCTCCGCAGCACCAAGCTGTGGAGGATGTGCTGGTTGGGCTTCTGTATCAGCTGCTCAAATAGCCGCAGTGTCATGATGCTGATCTGGGGACAAGGAAGAGATGAGGCTTAGCTCCCACTAAAAATCCATGGCAATATGCCAAGTCTTTGCGTTCTGTCAGAAAAGTAGGCAGGGGCTGCTTAAACATCAAAGAGATGATTCATCCCTCTTTTGTGTGGTGAAAATGTGTGCAATGGCTCTGCCAGATACTAATTAAAATTCATGTGCTTTTGGTTAATCATATGATTCACTGGAACTCAGAATCTTTGAAGGGCAGATGGCCATTTGTACTTTTGAACAAGAAAAAATTATAAATATTAATGCCAATGCCATCAAGAAAGGATGTACTAAAAAGTCTCATCAGCCAGACATAAATGATGTTAAACCTGAATAATAACAATTGTGTGAGAAGAACCTCATCTGACAGGTGGTCGCAGTGCTCAATCAGTCTGTGTCTGAGTGGATTCTGAGCGATAGTAGCTGGAGTCTCTGGCTCTCTCTCCTCCCCCAGCAGGAAGCAAACCATCTCCTGCAGCAGAGCCTCTGATGTCACCTGCCTGATGATCCTGTTCAGCAGGGCTGTGGAGGTCAGGATGCCCACCTCAGACCTACATGAACCCATAAACACACCACATGTGTAACTGAGCCATCACAACAAATAACACACTGACAAGACTAAGAATTTCAGCATAGGATGATTGATTGATGACTTACGTCTGCATAAGCTGTGGCTCCATCACAGACACAAAGAATCTCTCTCTCACTGCTTTTGCCATCACTACAGCTGCTGACTGAAAGACAGTGAAGAAAAACAAAAAATGTATTTCAGCCTTCTGTGGCTTTCAGATACAAAGCAACTTCTTTGGAGAGATTATTATTCTGTCAATTCTTAATACAATATGATGCATCGAAACACAGTGAGTCAGCATTGGTTAAGAACCTTGTGAGCCTCCTTGATTAGTTGGTCACAGTAATCTAGCCACGACAAGAAGGAGATGAGAGCCCTCTTCCCTGTAAAGACAGCAGCGTCTTCCTTCAGGTTATATACATCGAGCCTGAAAGAAAGAGAGATAAAAATATGAAAGGTTTGAAACAACTCTTCAACTTTATCCATCGAGAATATCATTTGACAGAGGATGCTATTTTAAGGCTACCTGCAAAGTCAAATTAAATCAAAACTTTAGATCATGACATATTTGAATCGTATGCAAGTGGCGGTTACAAATGATTGCACTGATCCTGATCATGTTGATAGACTTGTGTTTCTGGCAAATAATATGAGAAATTAGGTCGGACCATTTGGCTTGACTATTGGTTCCATGTTTTACCTTGCTACATTTTTAGTTCATGGCTGACGGAGCTCCCTCTTATTATCTGTGATGTGACTTTTTTTTTTTTCCCCGTAAGGCTTATTCATCATACTGTGTGTTCTATGTTACTGTAGCACTTTGAGACTTTTATTGAGAGCAAGGTAGAAGTGACAGGCATAAAGAAAACGATGTGTTAATACAGCCGTCAAAAATGTAACATTTGATTTTGGGGGGGGGGATTACACTTCTGATTTCATTAAATATGTGGTTTTCGGACATAAACACTAGAAAGACATTTACCCCCAGTTGACCGACTCCACTGTCTCAATGTCCAAGGGGTCCATGGACTGTGGCAGGGCTTTATAGAAGGAGACCAGCCTGTCAGTCAGAAGCTCACAGAGCTCGGTGTTTTCAGTTAAACACTTGGCAGCAGCCGGCTCTGGTAAACTGACCAACAACATCAGGCCTTCACATGCCTTCACCACTATTCTGCCATCCTGAATAAGGAATGGATGGATACAAAGGAGAACATGGGTTATGGATACCAACTTTGAACTCACACCAAAAGGAAAAGACATATAATACTTAACTTAAATCATGGGTTACTCACAGGGCTCTTTGTGAGGTTGAGCAGGGAGGTGACAAGATTGTAATTGCTGTTGTTATTGTTGTTGCTTGTTGGACTAGAGGTGGAGGCGGCAGCAGCAGCAGCCTGTGGCTCCTCTGGGCAGTCAGCCTGTTCCCCTGCTGGAGACTGACCAGTGTCTGGAGCCAAAACATCCTCCTTTACCTCCCCTGCTCTTTCAGGACTCTTGGTCTCAGGTCTCTTCAACTTGTTCTGCAAGTAACATCACAAAATAAAGAGATATTTTCTTGACTAGAAAATACTTACAGGATTTTGAAATCCTGTAAGGCTCTTGCTAGTAATACATACAGATGAATATTTATGACTGTGCAGCTCAACTTTTATTCCCGCTGGTGTCATAGCAACGCACCTCAAGGAAGAAGTTGACGAGGTATGGGTCCTGCTTCAGTTTGGCACAGACTATACAAAGGAACTGAATCTCTTCATTTTCTGTAGGAGCAGCCAGCACCTCCCCACACAGACGAACCAGTTTCTGACAGAGCAATGTCACAGCCACAGAAAAAAAAAAAGTTACAAATAAGTTACATAAGCTGTCCGTTAGTGGACCATTTTGAGGAGAAGAACTGTCAAAAATACACAGAAATCCAGACTGCAACACTTCTCACCTGTACGGGTCTGTGGACATTGATGTGCGGCAGGAGAGGCTGACGAATATGTGCTAGCAGCTTTGTGTAGAAGGTAAGCACTTGCTGCTTCATCCCCGGAGGACACTGATGGGAGATCATACAAACAGAATACGTTTTGGTGCTCCACCAAAACAGATGTGCCCTCTCTCCATGTGGAAATGCAACTCACAGTGCTGATTAACTGAAGAGTCTACCTAAATTGTGCATTCACATATAATCATTCGAATTCACTGTTGCACTTCAGCCGATTGCATACTTGAAGCTACGTCCAGCTGTCCCAACCTCCGGGGGCTCAGTGGCCAAAATTAATTCTCAACCTTGATTTCTTCTAGATTTTCATCCAATATCACATATATAGGTACCATATCATGATATGTTTATTTTCCTGGAGGTATAGTTCATGTAGTTACCAAACTATGACTGTCTTACATCAGCCTTGCCCAAGGTGTAGAGAGTCTCCAGGATCTTATGGTGTAGGAGATACTCCATGCAGGGTCCTGTCTCTCCAGACTCCCTTTCCCCTTCCTCCTGGGTCAGGATGTCCAGCATCTGTTCCAGGTGAGATGGAATGTTGGTGTCTGTGACTGGAGCTTTGTCATCTAAAACACAGGGGAAAACACAGAAACATGTTTAAGAAACCTTTGCTTGTCCATGAGGTACAAACACAAGGGAAAAGGCCTCTCAACCTCAGCGTAAAAGCTTCTGAACTTTTATCTGACCACTTCACCTGTGCAAAGCCAATTGTTTTCCTTTCTCTTTTTTTTTGCTCACATGCAAAAACAAAACTACTAAACTACATGGCTTCCATGTAGCATTCATTTCACTTTTGTTCCTGAAAGATTATACTTTGATACAATGATCTTTGCTGTCAAAAAAGCATCCTTACAAAGTATCAAATCAATATCAGGCCGGCTTTTGGCACTGTTGGCTAATTCTGCCGGCACTATTAATAGTTCCCTTGGTGACTTCCCAGTAAAATCTTGTTTACACATTTAAACACATTTATTGTGACACACATGCTAAAAGTGGTGAGTTATTGACAACAGCCAACATTTGCTTAACCCAGTGCATGAAGGTAACATGAGAGAAAACAGCAGGGCTATATTATGCACAAGTGGTTGAAACTGTGGATCACATCAGTTGAAATAAAATACCAATGTATGTATTGTGCTTAATCTAGCAAAGGACAAAACGCTAAAATGTGGTCAGTGACGCAAGAATAACAAGTGTGTGAAATTAGGTTTCTAAGACAAAAAACAACCACTTAACCACAAAATAACCGAATGATTTCTAAAAAATCAACAATCATGAGGACTGATGAAGGTTGAGCTGCTCAAAAGTTCACCAGTGATACATGAAAACAAATCTGCTATATAATACTTTGAGTGCTGATAATCCTCTATCAGCTGTTCACAGTGAATTTTGTTAAACTGCCCAAACTAAGAGAACTACAGCAAAGAAGTTGTTCAGAGTGAAGAATAAGAAAAGGAGACTTTCCTGGTCCAAACATGAAAAGAGGCACTGTCGTAGAGAAGGGCTGCTTTAGTCCAGAGAGAATTGTTGAAGTATATTGCAAACTCAAGCAGCATGACATTCCCAGCATACTTCTCAACTAGCCTTTCCATTTGGATTTTCTTTATAACCATTCCGTTTGCACTGCCTGAGCCCAGTGGTACTACATCAGTAAGTAATTAGTCAACCAATAGATATTTTTATAATCAATGAACTATTGTAGTTGAGGTAAAATAGTAAATGTTCGTTATGCAGTTAAAACTTTAAAACGCTGCCTTTTGCTTTCTTTTCAATTAAGTTTAAGGCAAACCTATAGGATCTGGAAACTAGTTATTATCATTATACATTATTTATCATCTTTAACATACTGAATATTATCAGATTAAGTAATAGATGGATTAATCAACAGTGTATACGTCATTATCTGTAACCATAATACTCTTACTAGTATGAACAACTTATGAACAGATCAGTTTCCTGCAAGTGTACACAAACTTTTGACTGGTGCCCTTGGTACAAAAGACATTAACACCTTTGAAGGCAATCAAGCTACCTCTGTTATTCTTTTTCTTTCAGACTTTTCTTACCAGAAGTCTCAATGTAATAATGTGTAATGGCCTTCCAGTGATAGACAAAGTCCTCCTGCAGGGGCAGCGATGGGGCAAGCTGAAAAAGACAGATTATAAACATAAGCATATTTTATGTTTAAACTGCAGGCCCATAGAGACCCCACTAATTATAATGACAACATGTCTACATGTCTCAGTCATTTTCAGATTTCAAACAGATGTGGGTCTTCTTGCTCAGTCTACTAGTTTCAAATAACACCTTCTCATTTCTTAAATGGATCTAATGTACAAATTAACACACTGTTTTGATCTAAGACACAACAACTTTCAAAACATGTAAAGATTAGGATAGGGTAAAAATTTTCACTTTCATGTGACATAATGGTCTACACTTATCGTTGCTCTTATCCTCATACGCTCCAATAAACTCCATGACAGAATAATTAGTTGGTATTTGACGTTTGCCTATCAACTCACATCTACGCCGTAAGTCAAAGGTTTTCGTCTATTGTTTGAAACCCCTAACAGGAGCAACTTGAAAACAGGTTTCAGATAGGTTACTACTGGTTTCTGACTAGTTAGCTAGCTAGCTAACGTCTAACATTAAGCTCTCCAAAAAGAGATGTGCGACATGCTCCGTAGACTGTGGCTTTATTATTAACGTTAAAACTTTTGCGCAACATTAAACAGGGGTGTCAAGTCATTTCGACATCACTCCTTATGATAAAACCCTGCTATTTGAAACGACATAGCTAACTAGCTAGCTACGACGTTAGCTTAGCTTCTTGAGGCTGTTATCAGCTGACGTCGGGGGCTAACTAGCTCAGTTTGTGAAGCTACATTTAACACAGATGACTCGCTGCAATTAAGAAAATTGTAATGGGTAAGTATGTTAGTTAGTATCGCAAGTGAGCAGACAAACAAACACACTTATAAGTATACAGTAGCTAACAAGAAAAAAAATACAAATTGAAAACACAAACACAAAACGCTAACATTCGCTTATGCTAATTAGTTAGCTCGCTAGTTAGCAACGTATCCCTAATGCTGACGTTATGATATGTTGATGTCTGGTCGACCAAAGGCCCCTTCTAACCTAAATAGATACTACACAAAAGCAAGCCAATGGACAGACATATATTTTTGGTTAACACTCACCGCTTCCACGGCATGCTGGAGAATGGACGTAAATTTGGAGAACATTTTGTTCTTCGACTGGACTAGTTTCTCCCGAGAAGACCTAGAGAATTCCTCTATCTTCTTCTTCCTGTTGCTACCGCCTCGATCCAGATTGGAGGTTTCATATAATGACCCTTGTAACGAAAGAATAAATGTGAGCAATAAAACCGTAACACGTTGCTGGCCACACGACTTCACGGGCCTGGCACAACCACTGTAAACAAGACGTCTACAGACTCAAGTAACGTATGCTCACTTTGGACACGGTGGCACTTCCCTCGCCAAACGCTACTCTTCAGAACCACCAGGGGGCGCAGGAACACAAGACACTGCCTTATAATTACTGACAGCGATCGATGCATACAAATGGAGACAGCAACCAATACACTCAATGTGGGACGATGATCAATATCTTCAGCATGGAAACGAGGATCAATAAGCCCACTTCAAATGTATAAGCAAGTATGGGATTCCGATAACCGAGCAATATAAATTATCTGGAAAATCTCAGTGAGCTGGGAAATCAACTGATTATCCTCCCACATGATGCACTGATTTGGGTTATATCTCTGAATTCCCAGTTTTTCTCACAATAGGGTGGAGGTTACGCTTGCTTAAAGTGTCACTGCTTTTCGGAAAAAAGTTAAGGAATCCACGTGATGAAGAGATTGCCAAATATTTTTTCAAAGCAGCCAGGTTAACGGGGGCGAAAATGAAAAGCAACATTCATTGCTCCAGAGCGCCTGTCAACTTTACGATTTAGCCCAACTACCACGTCCAGAACAGCACAGTCATCCCAGACAAAAAAGTAGGCTAGCCGGTTTAAGGTTTAGGTGACCTGACAGCAGCTGCAGGCGAGGAATTTCAAGAATTATTTAATTTATAAGTCCGCAATTCTGTAATATTATGTTCAAATATGGAAATAAACTTGTTGGAAAATAAGAAGGATGCTGTCTGTTCCAGGACACGCCCTGTCGCTGGGAAAGTGCTCTCTCCATCGCGCAGCCTAGTCTAGTCTCCCAAATCGCAGGCTGTATGTTTCCCTGCGTTTAATCCCATTAGATGACAGCCAAAAACTTAAAGCATAGATAATATCAGACTGTCAACCGGTCTTTTCCCTCTTCTTCTAAACTGCAGCGGGGCATCTCCTCCTGATAATCTCGGCAAAGAAAGAGAAGCTCTACCTACCAGGCATGTCTGCTAGAGGTGAGTATCTTTTGCCGCAGAAGCCTTCATAACAATACATATAAAGGAGAAAAGTCTCTTAATTTTGGGAGTGGAGTGGGGTCTTGGTTCAAGGATGGATGCAATGGAGAAGAGAGCCCATTTGCGTCGTCTTTCGGGAGGATCAGGCTCTGATAATGGCTCTGTTATTCTAAGTAGGTTACACCGGTGCATAGCTGGAACTACAGCTTCCACTGCTGCAGCCTTTTCTAGACAACTTATTTTGTTGTTATGAATACTATGCATTGTGATTCAACCTATAAATAGATCACACTTTTTAAAAAAAAAAAAATCCCAGCAGTGATAATAGACCTCCTCTGACTGCTGTTCCTTTTGACATTTCATATTGTCTTTAATCAGGGATGGTGCATATCATTAGTTGAAAGCTGCACTCACTCTAATTGTTGCCTAAATGAATGCTGTTGCTGGAGGACTGCATATTCTGCGCATTCCTAACTGACTGGTTGTGATACAATGGAGTTGTGAAATTTGATGATGACTTCTTTCAAGTGTTTAGCTGGAGAGGGGACAAAAAAAGTGGGAGTACAATCTTTTTGGAAAGAAATGCAAACTATTGTTTGGTGCAACAATCTCACCCTGTCTGAGTTGAGAAGATGTTTTCATTTCCTGTTGAGTATAAAACAAACTGATACCTGCAAACAGTGCAGGTGAACCATATTTGTTCCCATCAGCTGGGCTTTTGTGCTGTCCTGGATCTGTGTCAGGTGACTGTGTTCTCTGGCAGAGGAGATAAAGAGCCTCCAGCTGCTATAGGTTAAGATCAGACAGGCTGACTGACTGATTGAGATCTGGATAAAAGCAGAGGTTACAATATTATCATAACCTCAAGGTTATTATTGTGTTAAATCTGCAGCTGGATTCATCTTGATGGGCCTGATCCTGTTATTGGGTAAAACATAAGCCTTTTATAAAGCAGCTCTAGCTGTACAGTATGTCGCTCTCCTTCAGGCTCAGTATGGCTGAGCATATGTAGCAAGATGGCTTTGAACTCCCCCTGTGAGTGATGTGGCCTACTGTATCTGTCCTCCATGGCTGCTGGTCGAGATTGATGGAGCTCAGAGCCCCCCTTGACAGCCCCCCTGTGGTACATGGATCTGATTAGCACGCTTAAGCCCCTGCAAACAGCTATCAATATTCATGATAAGTAACTACCCCACACCCTACAGTTGTCCGATAGTGAAGTGCCAATTATCTCTATGTTGGTTAGATGAATGAGGCAATATTCATCTATTATCGCCAATAAATCAGGCACATTGTCACAAAATGTTTGTAAGAATTTGTCAAATCAAATACGTATTTGTCATGGGCTAACCTGAGCCAATGCTTGTTCAGTTGCACTGGTCATTTATGTACTTTAGAAGCTTAATTTCTTTTATTTTTCACAATATTTAACAAGGGTGCATAAAGTATTTTTGTAATAAGATAATGATTGAGAATATTTTTTGATTAGTCCATTGACACACATATTTTGATTGTCACTAAATTTTCCACTTTTGTGAACTTAATATCTTTGGATTGTGGATTGCTGGTCGACCAAAACAAGCAATTTGAAGACACATTGGGCTAAAGAAATTTCTGATGGAATTTTCTGACATTTTATGGACGAACAGATTGAGAAAAGAATCACAAGTTGCAGCTTTAAAGGAGCTATTTGTATGTTTTGCTATTGCTATTGCTACATAGCCAGCGTTAGCATTTACAGCCAACACTACCAGTCTAGAAGCAACGTTGCAATTCAGCATCAAACTTCATTCCTTTCCTCGCCAAGAGCTGTCTCCAGTGATGGAAAGCTACACCAATGTTAACTCTTGTTTCTATCACATACTTTCTTCTATTGAAGTTCGCATGCTAACCAGCTAGCCCCATCCAGTTTCATCACTTTCCAATAGTGAGTCATTGAAGCCTCCAAACTGCTTCTTGTATCTTCTTGAACTTAATGGACATGATCCTGCAACTTTTATGACTGTTCTAGAGTAGCACCCATCAAAAAATATAGGCAAGAAAAACATGTTCAAGGCAATTGATTTTGTTCCCACAGAAATGCAGGAAGTGAAAAAACAATGGCTGAAATGACTCCACTTTCCCCTCTCAGTATACATTTATGTTTACCAGTGACCTTCTCAGTTGTCCAGCGAGCATCAGCCATTACTGTGCTCTCAGTCTTGCAGTCGCCTACCCCCCACCCTTTTATCGGCATAGGGCCATCAGCTTTTACCTTGGTAGTGATGCCCCTCCATTAGTCACCCCACCTTATAATACACCCTTGGGGCCATACTTTATCTGGGCTTTTCAGTGTCATCATATTTCCTGTGCTGTTTTTTTTTTTGTCTGGAATCTCTTAACATGATTTTATAAAAATCTTTATTATCCTGGGGTTGTTGACAGAGTGCATACTATATATTATTTCAAGCAGTGCAGTCACTTTCATTTCTACCTATGAGCTGCTCAGTGTGAGTGTGCTGCTGATGGCTATTGAGCAGAGGGGTTAAGTGCATTGTTCAAGGTCACCCCAGTAATGCCATGTGAGGGATGGCGGGGCGGTTTCTCATCAAATCCCTCCATCTACAGTACATTTTCGCTCTTGGTGTGGGAAACCTCCCACAGTTTTGCCATTTAGCATAATCTCCTCATTTGTTTTTATAGCTGAATGTTTTGTTACTGCTAATGCTTTTGGTTCTTCACTGTTTTGGTTAGCTTTGTGGGAGAATTTATTGTTCAACTTGGTCCATTTAAGCTGGTTGTCGCTGCTCCACTGGAGAAACTTAAAGCAACATGTTGGACAGCAGAGTGCTCACATATGTGGGTCAGTGTTATTCATTCAGGTTTCTGCTACTCCTGGGCTGTTGTAGAAGTTGGTCATATTTTATATTAGATTTTGTAAACCTCTTTGAAGGCATTGTTGTGAAGTAATAGTGGACTGAATTTATGCATTTTAGGTCTTTCCTATCTTCCTAATGAAACTTTAAACAAGGTTTCAGTGTCGAAACGTGTGATGTTTAAGCCTGTGATCAAACTCAATATTAATAAAAGCTATTTTATTTTCTGAAAAACATTATTATGTCATTCTGTTATTTTCATGTAGATTTGGTTATGGTTATGCTTTGTTTTTTCCCCATCTTCAACAGACCAGACTATTGATGTGATTTCTTTTCTTCCAGTAATCAGATCTTTAAGTAATCGTTGCATTTGGATGTGTAGATAGCTTTAAATGACCAGCACCAAAGAGAGTCCCCCCGCCCCCAACACCTGGTACCTCTCCAGTTTTGCCCCACTCTGACTTCCTTCTCCGCCCCGCCCTTTCCTTGAGCAGGGTTAGCACATCTTGAACACTGTACCTGTTACACTGCAGTGCAATCTGGATGATCAATGGTGGATGAAAAAGGAGGCATGGCTCCATTCTGCAGTAACCCAATCTGATGCCTCCTCCTTATCCGACCACTGGAGAGGGCTGCTCATGCTCCAGCAGCACGACCCTCTGCATCAGCACTTTTATCTCTCTCTCTCTCTCTCTCTCTCTCTCACTGTGTGTGTGTGTATACTATATGTCGCGTAGGGAAATTGGTGTGCACGCGCATGCATGTGTCCTGGCAAAAGCCTGAATAATTAATGAGCAGGGGAAGGAGTGAAAGTGCTGCCGGACGGGACGGTGTGTGTGGGAGTGTGTAGAGATGGGGGAGAGGAATTCAGAGAGGCAGCAGCCTGGCTACGATGGGCTCTGCAACTACGCCCAAAAAATCACCTCCTGCTTCGGACTGGATGGTAAGACAAGGCAAACATGAAGAGCAGGGGGGTGTGTTTCTGCTAGTGTGGAGCAGGATGCAGAAACGGCAGAGGCTATGAGAACATTCAGGATGTATTTTGTGTGCGATGCGAATTTGTCTGTGTGCAGAGGCAGCAGTCTTGTTTTACGAGCATGTATGTGTTGATTTGCGAGTGTGTGGGTAGTTGAGTCAAAGCTACCACAGAGTGGATGACGATTGGAGGGCAGTGCCTCACTGCAGCAGAGTAGCATGTCCTTAGGTACACC